CGGGACTCAGGTGGGACATTGCCATGGGCTTGGGGTCATGAGTGGGACTCAGGCGGGACATTGCCATGGGCTTGGGGTCTTGAGCGGGACTCAGGCGGGACATTGCCATGGGATCCAGGCCCTCACCTGGAATCTTTGGGTCCTAGTGTGTGCACAGATTTCCTGCACTCTTCTACATTAGACTCTTTGGATCAGTATTATAAAATAATCCTATAAGGTATGCATCCTTTATTAAACCTCTTCCCTTGAACCCCTGACTATAGCAACTTCTGTGTAAATCAGAACCAAAAAAGACCCAGAGGTCTGTCCAAAAGATGGGGCTCACTCATCATTGTCTTACTTCATGCTGAATTCTCAAGATTTTATGTTTATGTTTTCAAAGTATATAATTATAAGTTAATTTTTAAAGGTGTAGCATGTGTGTCAGCTAGCGTTACAGTTTCTGATATCAGAGGCCCAAAGGAAAGAAGCGTAATAAGATGGCATTGGATTTCCCTCTTGGAAACTGGGAAGTGGTTTGGGGCTGCTCAGGTAGTTCAGGATTGCAGGAACCTGTCCCCTCCTTCGTCACGGCTTTATGCTGCTGACGGTGACGCGCTCCGTGGCCCACCCTGGCTGCATGCGCTCCATGTCGGTCAGTGCTTGCTAGAGAAACTGCTTGAGTGCAAGACACGTGAATATCTAAAAGTTTATGAGGCCTCCCACAGAGTCAGGCTGGCAGAGCGCGAAGGGCCGCGGGCCCTGCAGACCAGGGTCCTGTGTGAGTCCAAGTCAGGAGGCCGAAGCGCCTGCGCTGGAGGCTGAAGGTCTGCTCTGGAAGCCAGGAGACGACGTCCAAGGTTAAGACGCACCCGGGACTCCTCCAAAGACACCGAAGCGGCCCTTCCTGCTTCCTTCCCCCTTATGCAGGTGACGAGCGGCTCTGGAGTGGGTCCTCTGCACCCGGAGCTGAGCAGGCCAGTCTGGTCGGGCGTCTCCTCCTCAAGTTGATGCAATCAGCTAACCAGCATGAGCTCCAGTCAGCACATCCGCAGTCCAGCTGTGAGGAAAGAAAAGCAGGGGAGGTGGCAGCTGCCCTTCCACGGATGCCTCCTGGAACCTGTTCTTTACATTTCCTCTCCTGTGCCTTACCTCTGAAATGAGACGCAAGACCACCTTCTGCTGCAGAAGACTGGAAAATTCAGGCTTTCTTCTGGGTGGCCTTGTGCCTTGTTGATTCATAGGAATGTTATTACTGAGCAGGAGGAAGAGACCTGGTAGCTATGACAGGTAGGAATGTTGCTGCTCATTCATAACTTTTTTCTCTTGTTCTCTTTTTCTTTTTTGCTTTTTAAAACAGATCCCATGCGTGGTCCAAGAAAACTGGAAGTTGTCGAGGTCAAGTCCCGGCAAATCACCATCCGCTGGGAGCCCTTTGGCTACAATGTGACCCGTTGCCATAGCTACAACCTCACAGTACACTACTGCTACCAGGTGGGCCGGCAGGAGCAGGTGCGGGAGGAGGTGAGCTGGGACCAGGACAGCATGCACCCGCAGCACACCATCACCAACCTGGCCCCCTACACCAACGTCAGCATCAAGCTCATCCTCATGAACCCCGAGGGCCGGAAGGAGAGCCTAGAGCTCGTAGTACAGACAGACGAGGACGGTGAGTGTCCCCATGTCCAGGGGACTGAGAGGGGAAGGGACTGCTTTGAGGAATGTTCAGATGGGCATCTGCGCTGTGCCCTGCTAAGCGCTGACTACAAGCACAGGGATGGAAATGGGAGCAGCACCTGCTCCTTGCTCCTTAGCCACACAGCGCTGCTCTCCTGGGCCTCCCTACCCGGCCCTGAATACCCCCAGCCCAGGTCCTCTCACTGCGTACGACCGGACTGAAAAGCTGTGGGTGCTAGGTGAGTTATAGAAAGTATTTTTAAAGTGTATTTCAATGGCGGTATGAATGGTTTTCGTAGCTCTACATCCAAATTCAGCACACAGTAGAGGCTGCCCTGGGTTCCCAACAAGGGCTGAGAAGCTGTAGAGCCAGTGGGTGGGCTGCGAACGGCTTATCTTTTCTCAAAACACAACACTGCCTATAGTGCCCTGGCAAGCGCAAGGACCCTGCCCTGATTTGATCCCCAGTACTGCCTTTCGTGCCAGCCCCACACAGTGCTGACCAGCAAACCAGGCATGGTGGCGCACACCTGTAATCCCAGCGCTGGGGAGGCTGAGACAGAGGATCACTGAGTTCAAGCTGCGTAACAAGATCCTGTACCAAATAATTAAGGAAATAAAACATTTTTTAAATTTTAAAAAAATAAAAAGAAATTTTGCAAATTTAGATATCAGGGTTAATATATTCAAAATTTTGAAGACATTTATTAATCCTAAATTCCTGTAAGATACTTTCTTCTCAAATTGAATTAATCTTTAGGTGTTTTCTGATTTGTTTTTATACTAAGGATTGAACCAAAGACCTCTACACTGAGCTATCATATTAACTGTCTTCCCTCTCTGTAGTCTTGAGACAAATTTACCTAAGTGAGGTTCAAATTTGGGATCCTCCTGCCTCAGCCTCCTAGCTCACTAGGAGTACAGGCACGCATACCATGTCCAGATTGCTTTTATCTATTCCTGAGCTTACTAAAGTTATAGGAACCCAATTAAAGTCTCCCTAGTCGTTAGGCCTCCTGCAAAACTGTTAGCACATTGATCTTCTAGGGTGTCCCTGATCAGCGTAACTTGACTGCCTTTCATTTGATTTTACTGCTTCACACTTTTATATTTTTATGAAACCAAAGATTTATTTTTTCTCAGTTTTACCTCTGTCAAAGAGTATTTTAAAATAAGAAAGAGCGCCGCAAGGTGACAGAGCCACACCGATACTTATCTTGATAGTGTGGGAAGCCAGACAATAGAAGCCCCTTTCGGGCGAAGGGGAGGCGGCGCAGGCCAAGGGCGCAGGTGTAGCCAAGCCAGCTCCACCATGGCCAAGAGGAGCCGCGGTCCCAGAGGCTGGAATTCCAGTCACCTAAAGCCAGTGTCACAGCTTCCCAAATATCTTGTTCGTTTTGCTCAAACTTTAAAGAAAAAACGTGACGTTTTGGGTAAGAGCAGCGCAGATAAACTAGCCTTAGATTTCAGACACTGAGGAGCAGTCAGAGTGGGTGGGGGGCTGGCACGGCTCTGACCCTCCACAGCGGGGACAGCTCCATGGTGGTTGTTAGCCCGACTCACCTCGTCCTTCCCTCCAGTCCCAGGCGCTGTCCCTACCGAGTCCATCCAAGGAAGCACCTTTGAAGAGAAGATATTTCTTCAGTGGAGAGAGCCCACCCAGACGTACGGTGTCATCACGCTCTACGAGGTAGCGTCCGCACGGGTTGGCGCTGTCCCTCTCGTCTCTGTTGCTCTGGGCTCGCTAGTAAGCGACTGTGACAGCCACACGTGACTGCCACACGTGACAGCCACACGTGACTGTCTAATGCCTTTTGGGAACTCCAATGCTTTCTGTGCTTCTAAAGGGTACTCTCCAGAATCCAAGGTTTAAAAAGGAGCCCAGAGGGCCGGGGAGATGGCTCAGTAGAGTAAGTGTTTCCTGGTAAGCACAAGGGCCTGAGTTCAATTCCCGGTTCCACCAAAAATAAAAATAGAAAAAGAGCCTAGAATTATGTGCCAGTTCAGGACACATATAGATGGCAAAGGGGGTATTTCAGAGTCTGTGTCATCATCTATCAAAACAGCGTAACATTGAAGAAGTTACCTTAATTGAAAATGAAGAGTATTTTAAAACATCCGTGGATGAGGAGGCAAACACTAGTCCTGTTCTTTCTTAGCTATGAAATATTTTTCTACTGAATGAGAGAAGAACACCAATTATCCAATTAGCAGAGTCGACAGAAGGAGTCTTGGGAGCGCAGACTCAGGTTCCTTCGCATTAACAAAGCCTCCGTTAGACTTCACTGACAGAGCTCTGACTGCAAGGCGCAGCAGTCGGTTGAGTGAGAGATGGCACAGGAGAATTTGATGAATTGTGTGAGGAAAAAGCGAACAGCAATAACAGGGCGACATCCATCAGCACATCTGTGCCAGCCCCATTTCACTGCACCTATTGTCATAGAAACAAGCAGGTGCATTTTTTAAGCTAGCACTGTTGGAATGCAAATTCAACAAAATTCTGTGTTGTGAGGTTTCTGAAGCCCACAGTGGACCCTCACTTGCCCTAGGCCACCTCTGCCTGAATACCGTTAGGACCAGCTGACAAGTTGGATCAGGGCTGTCAGGCGGCCCTCACTGGGAGCCCCTTCCAGCTCTGTGGACTTCACGTCTGTGTTTCCTTGCACCTTTGAAAATTCGGTATTGAAATGCAAAATTATATATACATTAGTTGAAAGTAAATGGGAGAAAGTTGATTTTCAAGCTGTGATTGTTGATGTTGAGTGGCTGTTTTGTGATAAAATAATTGAGTTCTGTGAAAATCCCCAGCTCAGCTTTTACAGACCTAAGTTTTATAATCAAACTGCTCCCTTTGTTTTCTTCAGTGCTGAAGCCTTTAGCTCAGATTTTTGACCTTAGACCCCTCGGTCTACAATAAAACGCAAAGAGGCCAGGATGCAGCTCAGTGAGGAGGCTCTGGGTCTAATCCTAGCACCATGAAGGCGCGTCAAGCCATGCATCCAGCTGTGTCCCGAGCCACGAGCTGCTGTCTGGACAGACAGAAAATGATTGCAAGACTCTCCCTAGCCCGCCAGACCTGTGTGTGTGTGATAAGTGACCTCACTGTGCAAGCAGCTGGTGCCAGTAACTGACATGCGTCCTGCCGGCTCCACAGCCGGGATCTTCCCCTGAATGCTGCCCTAAATGCTGCTGCTACCCTGGCCCTCTGAATGTGTCATGAATCCAGAGCTTGAACATCAGGCATTTGTTAAGTAAAGCAGGTTGGCTCGTTTTTCTGTTGAATCAAAAGGGAAAAGTCCAATGTGTGGATCAGGCATAGGCGACTAAATATAAGTTTTCTGGGCACAACCCCCCTCCCCAATTTCTCAAAGCGGGAAGGAGAGGAACACCCGGGTTCTCCAGCCTGGCCTCAGGGGCAGCTCAGGAGGGGCTCTGAGAACTGGGAGGCCCCGGTGCTGTGCCTGAGGATCCAAGGGAAACCAGCCTGGCTCCCCTCACTGGAGGCTACAGGCTTCCAGGATAGATGCCAGGCTAACCAAGTCAAATATCTGTCACCCAAGAAGCTCCGCTGTAGTGTCACAAAGGCAGAAGGTGAAAAGCTGGTCATGGTAGAAACCTGTGGCGGTCAGTGACCAGGTGTCTGTCTGTTCAGGGCGGTAGGGGCTGCGGATGCGCTTTGAAGCAGAGAAGTCCAACCGGATGGGATGTGGTCTGCATCAGTGAATGTGTGTGTCTGGGTCATTCTTGAGATTTCCTTTGGCACCTTGTGAAGGTGCCTCAGGGCACTGGTGACAGAAAGCTGCGGCCGCCATGGCTTTTGCAGAGGTCGTGGTCCAAGTCCCTGGGTTCACCTCTGCCACTGCTCCCTGCTGTCTGGCCCGGCCCACCCCTACAAGCCTGCATGTCCCTTGTCCTCATCCTGGTTGCCCTCCCTCCCTCCCTCCCACCTTGCTCCACAGCCCACCTGAGCCCCCCACCCCCCGACGCTGGGTCTGACCATCATGTCTTTCCTCCGCATCCAGCGCAGCCGCTGTTGGAATTGCGCACACATCTTTGTGAGTCACAGTGCTCCCTTGCTATTTCGCAGTTTGACTTTCACAGACTCACTCTTTCAAGGATTTTCAAAGAATGTTAACCTAGACTGGGCATAGTGATGCACGCCTGTGATCCCAGCACTGGGGAGGCTAAAACAGAAGGGTCACTAGGAGTCTGAGCTGCACACAGATCCTGTACCAAATACATAAATTTAAAAAAATTAATCTAAATTATCACAGATTTCTTGCTGTATCATGCAATTTTGCAATACCATACAGTATACATATGTTGTTAAAATTATATAAATTTATGAGTTTAGAAAATGGTTAAGAGGACTGGCCATATAGCTCAGCAGATTAAAGTACCTGCTGAGGCAGACACAGGGGCCGGGGTTCAATCCCCAGCCTGCTGTGCCGGCCCTGCCCCTGGGGCATGCTGAGAGCAAATGAGACGGGGCATGGTGGCGCGCACCTGTAATCCCAGCACTTGGGAGGCAAAATAGGAGGATCACTACGAGTCTGATCTGTGTACTGAGACCCTGTAAATCCTGTACTAAATACATTTTTTTTAAAAAAAGAAAGTGGTTAAGAACATTTTTAAAAGTGTGGGAAAGGTTTGTAAGAGTGTGAGAAGGGTTTATAAAGCCTTACAGTATGTATAACACTAATGTCACTACTTTGCTGACTTTCACTTATCCTGGGGGTGTCTGGAACGTACCCTCCGTGGTAAGCAAGGGACTGCTGTGTCCACCAATGCTATTCTCAGAAAGCATTTTTTAATTTTATTTTTGAACTAAAATATGCCTGTTGCTCAGTTTTACTTCTACGAGTTAACTACTGCTAACAGTTAGATACGAATCCTTCCAGAATTTGCAAGGAAGGAATAGACTAGTGCAAGTTTACTTACACACGTGGACAGAGCCCCCAAAGCAAGGCTCAGAATCCCTAGCTTTATTTCCAGAGTAGTGGCCCATTGAGATCCCCACCTCACGTGCTGCAGAAAATAGGTAGCAGATACGTTCATGATCTGAAGACAAAGGCCCGGCTCGCAAGGACGTGCTCAGCACAGAGGACGCTCTGGCATGCGTCTCCCAAAGCTTCGTGTACAAGGCTACAAGCTGTGTTCAAAAGCTGGCGGATTTGGTCACTTCAGATTTTCTAAGCTACCGAATGATGACAAATACAATGAAGAAATCCTAAATAAACAAGCTTTTAATAGAGTATAGTACTCAAAGTCATTTTATTTTACTAATCTATTTTAATGTATATTATTGGGTTTCAGGGTAACATTTTCATATAATGGTAGAACATTTGGATCAAGTCCACTTCCCATTAACTTTCTATGCTTCCCTCTTCCTTTTGCCTTTCTCTTGTCTAATAATCGTAGAGAAATCATTTTCAGTACTCTCCTACTCGGTAGGCTGCTGGTTGTAACATATAAAGTAACCCATTAAAAATTAAGAATAAAGAATCAAGAATGAGAAGAGGCAGCTCAGGAACCAAAGTTCTTAACTGGCATGCAGCCACTCGCTACTGTGCCTGCCCAGCCTTACGAAGGTGATTCAGAAAGCGTGCCTTTCTGGACTACTGAGTGGTAATCGGTGGCGTGGAGAACATGTGCGTGCCGTGCCAGCCGTAGCTGGGAGGTGCCCCCCGCCTCCTGCAGATGTGCTAACGTGTCCGGCAGAGGATGAACACTGCACATTAAACTTATTTGTAAGAATCCTTGAGTCAGTAATACTCCCGGGCACGTGGGCCTATGCCCACCATCTGCCCTGGGCCTTACTAATTTTTTCCCTCAGTAGCCGAGAGAGGAAGTCTGGACTCACAGTCCTAACACTGACCCCACAGCAGGTTTGCTTTTGCCATTGAACTTATGAGGATATTGAAAGAAGACGGAGGCAGACAAGATGCTGTCCCTCCGTACTAGAAGTAACTGCTCTGCAGTGACTGACTATAGAGGTGAAGAAGCGCGAAGCCCAGAACTCAGGTTAGCACTCGACTACTGTCTCGAGTGCGGCTTGCTCTGGCTCCCATCCCGGGCACAGGACGGTCTGGGCTGGATGGCTCACTGTAACACTGGCATGGCAGGTCCTGCAGGCTTCTCTAGATCCAGGCCTGAAGACGGGGCTCCTTGATCCCCACGGACTGCCCTGGAGCAGCGCAGTGGGTAGGAGCCGGTGCTAGGAAGTGTGGTTTAGGATTGGATCTCTATCTGTATTATTCATCCCCCACTGCCTTTCTCCTAGAATGGACTGAGCCATGGATGTGAGGCTTTCTTTTATCAAGAACCCTCTAGATTCTCCTACCACCTGTGTTAATCATTTTCCTGTCCCTGGTACAACATACCTGGCACGTGCAACACATAGGTGGAGGCAGAGAACTTGCTTGTAGTTCCCTTAGTTCAGGGTCAGCAGGTCCAGGTTAGAAATGCGTGGTGGAAGGCAGGGTGAGGAGGCTGCCCGCCCCATGCATTTCTAACCTGGACCTGCTTCCACCCCTGGATACCTTCAGCTCTTGAGAACATTACCTTGTTTTGCATCTCTGTGAAATTCTCAGCTTAGAATGTGGGAAACAGAGCAAGGGGAGGGGCAGGAGACAAGGATGTGTCCTTCCAGAGCCAGGCATTGTGGCACGGTGGCACAGCGGCACAGCCCTGTAACAGCAGTGGGCTCCTTGATTACCTGAGGCAGGACTGCTGTGAGTTAGTTCAAGACCAGCCTGACCCTGTCCCAAAAGAAACAAAACTCAGAGAACTCTTTCTCCTGGTCACACCTTCCTCAGCCCACCCTCCAGGCAGGCCGCACCCTGGATGTTCCTCTGTAAACTCACTGGTGGGGCCAGGCCCCTTCCAAAAGCCACCTCTGGATGCTGGAGACCCTGAGGATGCTGGAGACCCTGAGGACTTGACACCGCTGTGCCCGGGCTGCTGCCATTGCCCTCCGGCACCATCATCGCTCTCCTGCTGACGCTCAGTTCCCTCTGACACTGCACTTCCCTTTGAAGCATCTGGGCCTTCCCTCCCTGGAATCAGATTTGATTATTCCATTCTTCATGTTCAGAGTAGATCACTTCGGCCTCAGTGAAAGGCCTGTATTTTGTCCTGGCCCCAACTACCATCAACTTCCACCCCTGGAAACCTTCAGCTCTTGAGAACATTACCTCGTTTTGTGTCTCTGTGAAACTCTCAACTTAGAATCTGAGACCTTAAGGAGGAAGGAAGGTAACTGGGGGACACCAGGAATTACCTGGAAATCAGAGCCATCCAGCACAAGCAGGGCTTATCCCTCTCACCCGGTCCTCATCTCCTGCCACTTGTTCCTTTGTCCCTTTGCTTTGTCTTGGGAGTTCCTGATAAGATTCTCTGAGTCCAACCTGGGACTGTCCGGGTCCCCCTTGGGGATGCATCGTCATGTCCCTCAGCCCTAGCCAGCAATCCTCGCAGGTGTGACAGCCTCCCTGCTCTTCCCTTCTGGAGGCTTCCATGGCTTGCCCAGGACTTAGACGGCTCCTCATAAGCGTTCACTGATGAACAGAGCACCCAGTAGGGCATGCATGTGGAAGTACACGGGGGAGCCCTCGCGGCCCCCACCCAGGCCAGCAGCTGCCTGCTCGCTGTCTCCTCTGCAGCATGAAGTAGAAGATGGACTCGGGCTGTCCCCACAGCAAGACTTACAGGGACATTGGGAGTGTGTAGATGCATACCAGGGTTGTTTTGTTTGAGGAGGGACCAGACTGCTACTTTTCAGGATGTGTGTGTGTGTGTGTGTGTGTGTGTGTGTGTGTGTGTGTGTACGCACATGTGCTGTGGGAGTAGAGGAAGAAGACCTATATTTTTATCCAGCTTCGTAAGGGCTGTGTCTAACATACAGGTTGGAGGCCCAGTGCAACTTCGCCTGGAACTCCAGGACCATGCCACGGATGTGCCCGCTGGCCCTCTGACACCAGTCCCCTGGGAAGCCTCTGGTTTATATCTGCCCCAGAGGAGCAGGAACCCCTCGTTCCCTACCACCTGGTCTCCAGGGGTCTGTCACAAAGATATGGGGGTAGATAGATGATGTCTACTGATCACCATGGGGTCAGAGGAGGAGCAGACCTCTGTCACTCCTTAGGGACAGTCGCTACTGTCTGAGCTGTTCTGATTCCTCTGACATATTGCAATTTAAGACTAAATAAGAGACCCTGGCAAGAGCACAAGGGCCTGAGTTCAATCCCCAGTTCTGCAAAAAAAAAAAAAGAAAAAGAAAAAAACTAAACTAAATGGAGAGATCACCGCACTCTGGGACTTGCCACTGTGAAGCATGTCCCACCTTGTCAGTAGCGACGCTGGCTGACCTGGGGACCAGTCACCGGGCCTTGAAGGCAGGCTCTGCTCAAAGTGCCTGGAATGGAGCTCTGGATGGGGATACAGGAGCCATCCTGCCTCCTGCCTCCTCAAGCCTTTCCCTCCTTGACACCTTCTCTCCCTTCTTCAGACCTCAGTGACAGTGCTGTCCCTAGGCTTTCTTCTCCCCTTCCAGCTCTGTGTCGCTCCCCTGCTCCTGTTCTGAAGCTCGGGGAGCAGGGGCACAGCCCCAGCCATTGCTGAATGCTGAACCCCCTCTGAGCCCACCCCCACCACCAGTCTATGATCTTGCAGGTGGCTGCGTGCGCTCGCCTCTGAGCTCTGCCACCAGCCTTGACTTCTGTCAGACATCCTCACGTGACAGCGCCGCACTTCAGCCCATTGTTTCCTGGCAGCTGGAGCCCTTCTCCCCGCAGAGCTTTCCCTTTCCTAGCTGCCTGTTCCTCCACAGGTATTGTTTCACCTCTGAATTGCCTTCCCGTGGGCCCTGCAGCGCCAGCACGCTGGGCGGCTGGGGCCTTGGCTTCCAGAAGGCAGAGCTTGGCTTCGCTGCTGGCTGCAGAGCGTGCAGAGTGCTTGTGCCCAGGCCTATGCCAGCCAGTCTGAGCAGGCAGGGAGGACGGCACAGAGCAGAAGCAGGGCCGTACTCTGCCCAGAAGCTGAGGCAGGAGGGCTGCAGTTTGAGCCCAGCCTGGTGACTTCGCCATCTCAAAATAAAAGATAAAAAAGGGCTGGCAACATAGTGTGGTTCGATCCCCAGTACTAGAATTAAGAGGCAACGTCAGAGGATGTACAGGCCGCATCTTCATGCCCTGACACGACAGAGGCTGACATAGTGTCTAGCATTACCTGTGTGAAAGGAACTTGGAGGAGCAGGGCTGAACAGGAGGCACAGGTGCTGGGATTTTTTTCACATACGTGCTTGCAGTGCACTAAAATTCGCAGTCAATGTGAAGATGGTGACCAAGGCCCCAAGGGGCAGTACTCGTCCTTGTAGCTGTCCTATACCCTAGCCTTGGGCAGGCTGGCCCCACCTGCATTACCTGGAGTACCACAGAGGGCCCGGCTGCAAAGGGCCTGCCCAGGAGAATTGAGGCGCTCCGTGAGTGTGTGAGTGAACAATAAACGCCGGACACAGTTCCCCCGGTCCTGCTTAGACGTCTCCTCCGGGTGTCCTGACCAGGCAAGCAGCAGGCGCCCTGAGGACGCCTCGGCCAGGTCATCCTGGCAGCCAGCGCAAGATCCCATCCTGTGTCTTCTCCACTCCTTCGCCTTGGGAGGGAAACCTGTGGAGGGTTAACAGTCGAGCTCCCCCAGCCCGGGGCCACGTGCCGCAGTGATTAATGTACACAGCAAACATTTTCTTGCCAAAGCTCACTGCCTTCGATCTAAATATTCTCTCAGAGAGGTCTTCCTAATTATAATGACATGGTATAAATATAAGAAAAAAGAATGTCAATTATCACCCCAAGTAATAGCAGTGCTAGTGTTCGCGCACATAAATTATGAGTACATTTACCTATTTAGAAGCAAGAAAAGTGCTTGGTTTTGTAATTTAAAACTTTTGAATATGCCGCATTTTAAAATTATGCCATTACAACCAGTAGAAGTCAGCAATCACTAACGTACTCATTCTGGAATAGTTGATGAACTACTCATATTGAGATTCTCTTTAAAAAAATCACTTCAAAGGGCAAAATGTAAAGTAACCTATGTTCTATGTATTTTCAAACATTTCTGATTCATCCAACATGCAAATATGGTATGCAGCAAATACCACAACAGCCTTTGGAACGCGCACGCTGAGATGGAAGCAGCTAGGGACTCAGAACAATTTAAATTTAAGTTTCAGTTTATTAAAATGAAATTTCCTGTTCCACTGTCTTAAAGGCCACATCTCAAGCACTGACCTGCCACATGTGGCCTTTGGCCACCATATTAGACAGTGCAGACTGGGGCATTTCTATCATGGGCAGCACTGCTTTGAAAAGAGTGAGCTAATGTGACCCACGATGCACCTCTCTCTGCAGTGCTGGGAACTACTGGCATGCATCGAGGCTTTATTTTTGGAGCAGAAATCTTTGCCCACATTGATGAAAACACTTAAATATGCCCTTGTTCCCAGCAGACAATGAGCCTATTCAGGGCTGAATCCCATGCTGCCACAGGGCGAGGGATGAGACTGCGTGTCAGGACCCTATCTGTCTGAGCTGCTTCTCTGTGTTGTTACTTTGTTCAAAACCAGCTGTTACGCAGTTGTACAAAACTACCATTTTGAAAGCAAATAACTTGGAGGTGTCGGCTCGAGCCCGCCTCACCCTTCCCGGCCTGGCCCGCTCGCTGACTTTAAATTCCTCTGGCCCTAAAGCTAGCAACTCCTAAGGGTTTGGGCCAAGTTCCTGCACCCTGTACTGGATCCAGGCTGCCCAGAGAAGAGGCTACCTTATCCTAAAGGGTCTGACTATGTGGACAGCAGAAGAGAGTGGACAGAGACCCATTTGGGTTTGCCTGTTCCTGGTATTTCATCGCAGTCTCATTCCTTTGCAGATTACCTACAAAGCGGTCAGCTCCTTTGACCCAGAAATTGATTTATCTAATCAAAGTGGAAGAGTTTCAAAACTGGGAAATGAAACTCATTTTCTGTTTTTCGGACTGTACCCGGGCACCACGTACTCCTTCACCATCCGAGCAAGCACAGCCAAGGGCTTCGGGCCTCCAGCCACCAACCAGTTCACCACCAAAATCTCAGGTACTGTGCCCCCTGGAGTTCTGTCCCCATCAGAGGCAGCATGGCCGGGCAGAAGCCATGCGTGTCTCCTTCCACAAGGACCACCTTCCTGGGGACTTCACCACCAGCAGTTTCCTAAGCACAAGAGCAGACACCAGGCCCTGAGGGCCTCTGGGAGTTTGCTTTTAGTCTTTGTGACACCAGCCAGTGAAAGCCATCATCTGGGAAATGTTTCTGGACTTGTTCAGTGGTTTGGAAAATGTCTTCAAGCCAGGCATGGTGGTGCAGGCCTGTGATCAGCGCTCAGGAGGCAGAAGTACAAGGATCACTGGGAGTCTGAGGCCAGCCTTACTACAAAGGGAATTCAAGGGGCCGGGGAGGTGGCTCAGTAGAATAAGTGCTTATCTGGCAAGCGCAAGGGCCTGAGTTCAATCCCCAGCTCCACCAAAAAAAAAAAAAAAAAAAAAGGAAGTCAAGGGCAGCCTGAATTGCCTAGTAAGACCCTGTCTCAAAAAGATAAAAAGACAAAAGAAAATGTCTTTGTACTTCCAACAACAAGAAAAAGAATTGTCATCTAGTATGGATATGTGGCCACAATAAAGAAAATCCCATGGAAGATAGTAGCTTCTTTCTCTTCTTCCTCCTCCTCCACCACCACCACCACCACCAGCACCATCTCTTCTTCCTCCTGCTCCTCCTCCTGTTGTTCCTCCTCCTCCTCTTGTTCCTCCTGTTCCTCCATGTCCTCCTCCTGTTCTTCCTTCACCTCTTCTTCTACCTCCTCCCCCTCCCATTACTCTTCCTCCACCTCCTCCTTCTCCTCCTCCTGTTGCTCCTCCTCCTCCTCCTCTTCTTCTTCCTCCTCTTTCTCCTCTACTTCCTCCACCTCTTCTTCTACCTCCCCCTCCTGGTCCTTCTCCTCCACCTTCTCCTTCTCCTCCCTCTCTTCTTCCTCCTCCTCCTGTTGTTCCTCCTCCTCCTGGTCCTCCTCCTCTTCCTCCCTGTCCTCCTCCCATTCCTCCTCCTCCTATTCCTCCTCCCATTTGTCCTCATGTTCCTCCTCTTCCACCTCCTCCTCTTCCTCCTCCACCTTCTCCACCTCTTCTTCTACCTCTTCCTCCTCCTGTTCCTCCATGTCCTCCTCCTATTCCTTCTCCTCTTGTTCCTCTTGTTCCTCTTCCTCTTCTTCCTCCTCCTCCACCTACACCTCCTCCTTCTTTTCCTCCTGTTGTTCCTCCTTCTTTTGTTCTCTTCCTTCTCCCTGTTCTTTTCAGTTTGGCCTTTGTTCTTTTGGGGATAGATGAGGGGAGTGGGGCACAGTGGTAATTGTTCATACCTACCGGGTTTAGAGCAGTTCTATTTAGCCTGACCTCTGTATTTACTACCCTTCATTCTTAGCTTGGTTAAAGTTTGGAATAAAGGAAAGGGAAGATTGGAATGGTCTGTGGTTAGACTAGTATAAGTGCTGTAGGTTGTCTTTATGAGCAGAAACTTGATTTAGAATTTATTGCACATTTGATACCCAGTATTAAGGGATAGATCAATACAGAATCAAAAAAGTCATGTTGGGAGATTATAAAGTGACAAGGGCTATACACATGAAAGAGAAGAAAGATCCCTGGCCTTGGAATGCGAAAGTTGGGCTGGAGGCATCATTTTTCCGTGTCCTTCGTCCCTGATTGGGCCCCCCAGACATCACTCCATCACAGTGGCCCAAAGAGGAAATACACTTTCCTCGAGATGTGCACACCTCCAGGTAATCGCTAAACGTTTCCACAGTGGAAACCACATTTGAAATATTTTCATCTAGGGAAGATGCTCAGTTAGAAAAGAAGAATGTGCTTTTCTCAGAGTTTCTGAGCCCTGTGAGCGTGGCAGTGCTGGAACACAGAGTTCATTTAGCCCTACTCCAGGACGAAGATGGCATTGTGATGCAGGCTTATGGAGGGTAGGTGTTTGACTTTTACAACATTAAAAATGTTGGGGTTAGTCAGGCATGGCACATAGACCTGTGATCCAAGCCTTCCAAGACAGAGCCAGGAGGGTCGACTTAAACAGGAAGCAAGACCCTGCCTCAGAAATAAACCAGTAAAGGGCTAGTTCAGTACCTGGCATGAGGGACCAAACTCATTTTATGGGTTCTATTTTTTTTTTAATTTTCATGGACCAAGGAGAGGAAATTACTCTTATATGCAAAATATTATTTTGTGTTATGAATGGGACCTAATTTTAATGGAATTGAAGTCAATTTCTTTTTTGCATTTTTTGTTCAATTTTTAAGTTTTTATTAGTGAGTATTTGTAGGGTAAAATGATTGCAGTCCTCCTATGGATTTGGTCCATGTTTCAAATGCTGAGAACATGTGATGACAGAGCTGAGAAATAGCTCACTTCTGTCACCTTAGAGCTTTTTTACACAGATGAGTTTTAAAACTGCGCTTGAGCTGGCAAGATAGCTCAGCGGTCTAAAGTGCCTGCTTAGGCTGGCGCAGGGGACTGCGGTTTGATCCGGGCACCACATACCACGCCAACCTACCCTCAGGAAAGGCTGAGTGGGCAAAGACAAACATAAAACTGCATTTGCAAAAATCCATCCCTAGCCACCCCACCAGACACTTGTGCCTGTAGACTGCACAACACAGCTCCATGTCACAGTTTGCCCCACCCAGGGCCTGGTGGCCTTTGTGAAGAGCTCCACAACTACCTCAGGGTCATGGGACTTTATGATCTAGAGAGGAAAGAGTCCCCGAAAATGCCCTTGGAGGTAGGAGCCACACTGCAGGGGAGCGACATCTGAGAGTCCACTTGGCCAGCGCCCCATGTCACCTGTAGAGTCACCACACCAACTTTCTAGGCCAGGGTTGTTCCTCTATTTTGAAAGATGCATGAACCGCAGATTCAGAGCTGATCAATGCCCCCAAACTCCTACAGGGGTTAATACAGAGCACCCTGGAGAAAAAAATAAATGAGAGAAGAAAGTGGAGCTGGCTCTTTCACAGGTGGGTGAGGGACCAGGACTTGGTGGGAAGGACAGGAGGGGAAGGGGACACAGGAAGAAGGGAGCTGGCAGCCACCCCAAGGAAGCAATCACTTGTGTGTACTGCAAACACGCACTGATTAAAAGGTAACAGAAACCAGAACCAGAAGTCCAACCCAGGCTGTCCCGGCTCCGGTGCACGTGCTTCCCACTGGCCCATTTCCTGGGAGCCTGCAGGGTGTTACTCGGTCGCTCCCTCCCCAGCTCTGCGGCCCCTGCTGCCCTCTGCAGACCTCTGAGGTGACGTCCCAGGGGCTATCTCAGAACTTAATTCTGCCTTCAAAGTCAGCATGTGGCTGAAGTCGGGTCTATAGTGAGCACAAGGATGAAGTGGACAGCGCGGGGCCTTCCCCAAGCCTCCTGCACCCACTTAGCCCAAATGAAACCGGAAGCAGGACACCACTGGGTGCTCAACATTCCCTCACCGTCCAGCCCCGTCCAAGGTGGCCCGAGGGTCGGCAGCGGCGCCCGCTGCTCTGAGCGAGGCATATGGTCACACTTGCTCATGGCCAGCTATGACAGCAGCTCGCAGCAGGCACACTGTGTGCTTGGTGCCTCGGGAGGAGGGCCTGCGGGGCCCGGAGACACTGAAGTAGAAATAACGCATCCCCCGCGCCTTTCCTCTCCCCAGCTCCATCCATGCCAGCCTATGAGCTCGAGACACCCCTGAACCAGACCGAAAACACTGTGACGGTCCTGCTGAAGCCTGCGCAGAGCAGGGGCGCCCCTATCAGGTACGTGGGGGCAAAGGGCTGCCAGCTCCAGGAAAACCTGGGGCTGGGTGTCCCCAGGGTGTGGTCCAGGTGGGCTGCAGGCTGCTGTCACCGCTGAGATCCGATCTGCTGAGAGGACGGACAGAGGACAAGACAAGGGCCACCGGTGAGGCAGTCCAGGGCTGCCAGAGGGGCTCATTCCAAGCCAAGTGTGTGTCTCAGAAGATGAGGAGCAAACCCGGGCTCTTTTGCAGATGTGGTTGTGCTCCCAAAAGGAAACTGATCCTGTTTTATTCCACGGGGCACAGAGTAGTTTTGTCCTGAGCTCTAGTGTTTACGTAGATGGAGTTTTTTCATTTGATTGTGACACTTGGGGTTTTCTGTCATTTCACTTTTAGTAAGTTGGCCAGTTTCTCAATAGAGTATTTAATGCTTTATTATTTCTTAAAAAGAAACAAATAACGGGAAAGCACCGTGTGAAATTAGCGTGGGAGCAGACCTCTGTGCTGGGGACTTCGAGGCCCATCTCTTGGTCCCTTGTGAGCTCCGTGGCTGAGAGACACCACGTGCGGATTGTGCAGTGAATGAATGGGGTGAGCGCACTCTTCTGAGAGGGAGCGGGGGCTGCCCAAGCAGCTCTGGGGTGTGGCCCGCTCACAGCGCCTCCATCTCTGTAAATCACATTTCTGCCGCTTTCAGAGGGACTCGGATGTTTTACCTTGTCGCATCAGAACAGGCTCGCTCCAGAGTCCTGGGTACCTTAATAATGTACTGCAGAACACTGTTGCGTCTACGACTGAGACCGTACGCTTTGCTTCTGGGTTCTTTTCATAGAATTGGCCTTCAGGAGCCCTCCGCAGCCTGGCTCCGATCTTCACTGTGTTGTCCTTGGGCAGACAGCTGGACCTCGCCCTGACCTGACCGAAGCGTGCGCCACTGTCGGTCCAGAGAGTCCGAAGCGGGCACAGCAAGGTCAGATGTGGGTGAATGCTGGGGAGTTTTATTTGAAAGGCCTCTGAGTTCTGGGAGTGGTCGTTGTGTGCTGCTTGTGCGGCGCAGTAGCTCATGCTGGCCCTCTGCTTGCCTCGCATAGGGTCGTCGGCAGGCACCGACACGCGTGAAAGCTCTGTTGTGAACTCAAGGCTGTATCCTGCAGGACAGGGCACCGTGGCCTCTGGAGTGGCTGCCTGGGGAGTCAGTGGTCACACTCGTCTCACTGACCCATGGCACCCGTTGCTCACATGCTTTCCACCACTACTAGCAGGAGCCATCATGCCCAAATGCAAGTATCCAGCCACAGGGCAGGTTAGCATCACCCGGGCCAAGACCTCCAGGCCTAAGCAAGCACCAGCCCCACCAAGCCACAGAAACGCTGCCTGTGCCACTCACTCGGATGCTTGGGCACGCTTTCTTTCTCTCTTTTTTTTGGGGGGGGGGCACACTTTCAACATGTTTGCTATTTCTGTTGCATCCTACCTTCAAACCCTGACTCCAGGTTGTGCGCACACTTTGCGTCTGTCCGAGTCGCAGTTCAGAAGTGACTTCTTTGGGGTGATCCTCGTAGCCTCTTCCCATCCTTTGAAAGAGCAGGCACGTTGCAAAGCAGTATTTGGTTTTCTTGTCCTATGACTTGGTAGGAGGTGATTTTGTTCTTGTTTACTTTTACACATTTCCAGCTGTTTTGGGAAATTGCAGATCTTACTAGCTGGTTCTAGATGTCACTTCTTATTTTTATCTCTGTTTACGAAGCAGACAAACACTCTCCTGAGTCCAAAATACATGGCTTTTCTCACTGAATTTACAGGATTTCAGGAGCCCAGCTTTGTGGAGCCTGCTAAGATGTGGGTTTTTGTGGGCACACTTCATCCACAGCTGTCACAACACTTGGTTTCCAAGTTCAGCTGTGCTGTGCTTAGAGTGAACGCCACTGCGGTGTTGGCCGAAGGTGGGGTCGCTTTGCATTCTGGGTCCAGCGTACCTTCTCCACTGCGCGCACTCCTGGGGGCAAATACACTTGCCTCTGTCTTCATCCTCCACATGCAAGATGCCAAAATCAGGATCAGCTCAGGGTCGGGCCCACATTCAGGGATCATCCAGGGCGCCCTACTCCAGACTCCGCCTCTGCCTGTCTCAAGTGACGAATTATCTTCACACAAATTGGAGAGATGAAATTATCTCAACTTCACCTTTCAAGGTGGTTCTTTTTCCCCCCACATAAAAGTGAATGTTCTCTTCAAGGGATTCATTTTATACTACAACATAATGGTACTGATTATCTATTGAAAAGTTGGAAGACTGATATATCTACAAAGATTACTTTGGGGAAAATGTCCATAGTCCCCACAAACTGAATAGGGTATATTAAAATTCTCAATTTGATTTAATGTTTAGAGAAATAAGAACTCTGATTAACGAATCCTGTGGACCTAAAATGTAAAGCCATAATGTAGATTAAAGCATTTGAACACATCTGGAAATTTGCAAAATGCACATGTAATCAAACTGCAATACAAGAAAGCTTTTCCCAAATGATAAGATAAATATGAGAAGAAAGAGGCGAAATGAAGTGAACATCTGTTTGCTTTCCTGGGCTTCGCACGGTTTTATACATTCAAAAATACCGTCATTGTGTGATTTCCAAAGCTCATTCTCTCAATTGATTTGATTTTTCTTTGATCCATATTTATTGGTGTTGAAAATGCAGTTGGACTTCGTTTCTGCCTCTCAGTGGCCAGGTGCTTGTGCATCCATGCCACTCCGGACTCTCCACTGCGTTCAGGAACATGCCTGAGATTACACTCAGGGCAAGTGCAAGTGACTGTGCTCCTCTTATTGATCAGAGCATCAGTTCTGTCACGGAAAATTATTAAAATGCTGAAACGGCTGGGAGGCACACTGGTCCCTCCGTCCAGCTGCTGAGGCAGTGCTTAGGGAACACCGGCTATGCAAGGGCGCAACTTTTTCCTTTAAGACAGGGAAAGATTATTTTACTATTCATTTAGAATCACAGTCCCAAGGAAAATGTGTAGACATCACAGAAAACCCTTATGATTTGGCAGGCAGAGAGCAACTCTAAATAAAGAGTGTGTTTTACATAAGCCGTTGTGCTTTTCTTGTTCTGCAATTTTACTCTTGTGTATGTACATGTGTAAATAAATGTATATATACTATATAATCTATGTGCACATGCAAATGTATATTTGTCATATATAATTACAATTGTATAATTAAAGTACAATTATATATATATATATATATATATATAATCTGCCGCGTACAATATGTGTGTGTCATCAATGATGTTTTCTAACCTTGACTATTCCACGGCCTGTGATTCACTTGCGTTTGGTGCTCTACTGGCAGGGCTTCCAGTCCACCCTCATAGCTCTTCCCTTGGTCTGTGGCACTACTGTGCCCCTGAGTGCAGGGAGCTACCTGCCTGCGCGCTCAGAGCTCCACATTTGAGATCCAGGGAGATCCTTCTAGTGTGCGTTTTGGTGAGATTTTGAAGGATGACCATTTTGCCTGGGTATTTGCCCTGATTCACGCATTTCGGTGAAGCCATCAAATGAGGAACAAGAGCATGGCAGTCCTCTGGCTGTAGGAACAGAGCTGACCCTAGTAATCACATCAGTGACCCGAACATTAAGGCTCCTGCCTCTGCAGCGCACAGGGGCCTTCAGTGTGCGGTGGGCAATTTCTTTTTCAAATAATGCTAGCCCTGGTTATTTTGTGGTCACTAGTAACTTACGACACTGTGGTTATCCTTATAGAGGAATGTTTCCTCGCTAGTTATATTTGAAAAACAATTCTGGAATCATCTCTAACTGGGGCTCAGGACCACAATCATACACTGTGGAATCCCGGTGGGACAAGTGGGGAAGCGATGGTCACATAAGGAGTGGGAGGGTTCTCACAGCTTCCCTTTTTTAAAAAATGCATCCCTAGTAAGACTTCAAGTCAGAAAGGAAATATTGTGTTAGTAAGAAGAGAGCATGAATGTTTTATTCATCTGAAAAACTAACTAAAAATAAAATCTCATTGTAGAACGACATCGGCTTCATGTATAAATCAGGAATCAACTTCCTGTATGTGGTGTGTAAGTGGTGGTTCTGTTTACTTTGCTGGGAATGCGCAGCAGCTGCTTGCTCACGGAGGCTCTGCTGCTGCGTTGGCCATTCTCCACCAGATAAGTTTCTCGGGCTGCTTTGCCTGGCCTGGCTGACTGCAGAAGACGACATTGACCTCGTTCACATTCGCGTTTCCAGCTCTACTAAACTGTTTCTCAGCTCTTTGGCAACCAATTAAAACATTAAAATTGTATTAAGTTCACTATGTTTCTCATCCATTTTGTCCTTTTAAAACCCCATACCCTGTGCTTAGACAAATAATAGACATGTTTTCCATCCCTAAAGGAAAAATGGGCAGTAAAGGAGTTGTATTTATTTTCAGGAAATGTGTCATACCTTCTAAAAATGTGTGACATACTCCTTGGGGGATACAAGAAATGAGACCATTTCCCCTGGGCCATCAGCTCGTCTGCCTGTCCCCAGCCAGTATCTCCCAGGTGACACATGAGGGAGGGACTGAGCCCTGCAGCCTAAGAGGAAGGCAACTGTTAGTGAAAGATGGAGATGCGGAGATGCGGCGACTCAGGCACGGGAATTGAAGGGCCTGCCATCAGACATGACCGTGGTCGGCAAGGTGGAAGCTTGGAGGCTGTAAAGTATGGACCAGGTGGTGTTTTCTTCAATTAGATTTTTTTGGCACATTTTAGCTCTACATATCAATCACAGTCATCAGAGGGAATGTGACCTGTACAGGGCATCACATGACTGATTTGTACCCCACTCCTCTGCCCTCCCTTCAACTCCTCCTCCCCTTCCCACTTACAGAAGCTTTGTTTCCATATTTTTCCTTCTCTCAGGTATTTTTAAGAGAGATTTTAAAGTAGCAGCAACCACTCTATTGTCTTCTTGTCTGTAAGTCCAAGGAGAGAGACTGTCCTCCACCAGCAGTAC